AGTTTTTGGTAGAATGCCTGCAAGTAATAGATTAAGGATTTAATCTAAGATTGTGAATTTTTTTTTTTTTTTTGAGTTGGAGTCTCACTCTGTTACCCAGACTGGAGTGCAGTGGCCACTCCTGGCCACCGCAGCCTACACCTGCTGGGCTCCAGCTATCCTTCCGCCTCAGCCTTCCAAGTAGCTGGAACTACAGGCGTGCGCTACCATGCCCGGCTAGTTTTTGATTTATTGTAGAGATGAGGTCTTACCAAGTTGCCCAAGTGGGTCTCGAACTTACGGGCTCAGGCAATCCACTCACCTCAGCCTCCCAAAGCACTGGGATTACAGGCTCAGCCACCGAGCCCGGCGATTGTGAATTTAAAAGTCAAGTTTGAGCTCACTAATGTTCAATGATTCATATTCAATAATTATATGTTTATTACTCACGATATTGAGCCCAATAATATGTTCATTGGCAAAATATTGCCTTATTAATTTCAAGCCTCAGCCTACTCACCTATTGTTCAGGGAGTATGGTGTGGATTATCCTGCCCTGATTTCATTATTCAGGAAGCACACAAAAAGGAGTGAAAGAATTCAACAATTATAGAAGGCTTAAGAAACATACTGTGGCAAGACCTCGTTTCTACAATAAATAAAAAAAATAGCTGGGTGTGGTACTGCGTGCCCGTAGTTCCGGCTACTTGGAAGGCTAAGGTGGAAGGATCGCCAGAGCCCAGCAGGTCGACACTGGGTTGATCATGAGTGTGCCACAACTCAAAAAAAAAAAAAAAAAAAAAAAGAAAAGAAAAGAAAAGAAAAGAAAAAGAAGCATACTGGCTCTAGCATTTGGAAATTTCCAGATTTCCCCTCTCTCTGCCAAACTATATTTTAGTCCCTCAGAAGCAACCAAAAAGTGTCATGTTATTCCCTCTGAATTAAATTATCTGGCAGTTGCATCTTTTTTCTACTTAGTTTTCCTGAGTAGAAAAGGTGACTCAGTCGGAGCACTATGTGTGACGTGTCTGGGAAAATTACACAGAGGAAGCAAACACACCTGTTATGAAATATCTGTGGTGATTTCTAAGCAAAGTAAAAAGCAGGATTAGCACTTGTGTGTCAGTAACAGATAGTGGTCCTCCCCCTAACCACAGAGTCATGCTCATTTGTCCAGTATAGTACGATTAGACCCCCCCTAAATTTTCTCACTCTTTATTCCTTGGTCTTGTTGGAATACTTGGCTATGGTGTTCCTGAAGGAAAGTGGACTATTTACCTCAGTGATTGGAGCTGTGTACTGGAATTTAGCAAGTAAAACCCTAGAATAACTAACTTTATCCACTACATGCCATAATGACCCTTTGAATCTCATACTGTTCTTGTAAAATGGTCCTGCTTTCCTATAGATTATATGGTATATTAGTCTGCTTGGGTTGCCATAACAAAATACTATGAACTGGATGCCTTAAACAATAGAAATGTATTTTCTCAGTTCTGGAGGCTGGAAGTCCAAAATCAAGATGCCAGCATGGTCAGATTCTAGCGAGGGTCCTCCCAGGTCGCTGCCTTTTTACTGTGTCCTCACACATCACACACATGCGCACGCACACACACACACACACACACACACACACACACACACACACACACACAGAGAGAGAGAGAGAGAGAGAGAGAGAGAGAGAGAGAGAGAGAAGATAGCTCTCTTTCTTTTCTTATAAACCCATCAATCCTATTGGATATTAAGGCCCTATCCTAATGACAATGATCTCATTTAACCTTAGTTAAATAAAACTAAATAAAAGCCCTATCTCCAAATATAGTCACATTGGGTTGCCATAACAAAATACCGTGAACTGGTTAGCTTAAACAATAAGCTTCAAAACATGATTTTTTTTTTTTAGTAACAGAGAAAATAATTTATTTTATGTAAAAATGTAACAATCAGATTAAAATACAATGTGTATGAGTAGATTCATTTTTGATTTTTTTTTTGTTTACACAAAGAAGGAAGATGCTAAAATGATAGTACTGCTTGTCTTAGAAGTAAGAATATAAACCGGGCTCGGTGGCTCAGCCTGTAATCCCGCGCCTTTGGGAGGCTGAGGTGAGTGGATTGCCTGAGCCCGCGGGTTCGAGACCCGCCTGAGCAGGAAGACCTCATCTCTACAATAAATAAAAAAATCAGCCGGGCGTGGTAGCGCGTGCCTGTAATTCTGGCTACTCAGAAGGCTGAGGTGGAAGGATCGCCGGAGCCTAGCAGGTGAGGCTGTGGTGGCCGGGAGCGGCCACTGCACTCCAGTCTGGGCGACCGAGTGAGACTCCAACTCAAAAAATAAATAAATAAATAAATAAAAGAAGTAAGAATATACATGATTTTTATTTTCTTTCTACTGATTTTTTTCCTAAAATTCTATTATGAACAAATACCTATCATAGCTAATTTATACAATTGTCTGAAGACCATGTTAAGCTTATACATGCATTATCATGTAATCCTCACAGAAGCCCTATGAAGTAGAAGTATTAATTAATCCTATTTATCGGCCTTCATGGCCTATTCAAGAAAAAGTCATTAGAAGTTTCACATTCAAGTCACATCTTTAACTCAAAACTACAAAAGCCTAAGTCAAATATTATCATTTGTTTCATAATTTTTCTTCGGTTTGAAAACTAGTGAAGGATGATGGGAGTTTGAGTTGAGTTGAGTTCTCTTCAGGGCAGAGAAGGGAACAGTCTTACCTGGGAAGAAGACAGAGTGAGTATAATGGGAAGAACATTTGGTGCAATATTGCCTCAGTTCCTAGCTCAGGAAAATAACTTAATCTCTTTGAGTTTTATCAGCAAAATGGAGACATTGGTAATACTTTTGTTCAGGAAAAAAGTTTTACTTTATTTTTAATTGTGTGTATTTAAATAATTGTGTGTATTTATGGAATACAATGTGATTTTTCCATACAGGTGTACATTAAATCGGGCAAACTAGCATATTAATCACTGCAAATGTTTATCGTATTTTGTCAAGAAAGCTTTAAAAATGCTCTTTTATCTGTTTTGAAATGTGCAATACATTTATTGTTAGCTTAGTCACTGTGCTGTGCAATAGAACATCAGAATTATTCCTCCTATCTAAATGAAATTTTGTATCCACTGACCAATATCTTCCCTTTTCCTGCCTAACTCCTCTCCCCCATCACTTCTGAATATACACCCAAGGAATTGAAATCAGTATGATGAAGAGATATTTGCACTTCCATGTTTATTGCAACATTATTCACAATAGACAAAATGTGAGATCAACCTATGGTCATTAACCGATAGATGTTTAAAATAAGGTTTATATACAAAATGGAATACTATTCACCTTTTACAAAACCCTAGGAAATTCTGTCATTTGCAGTACTGGGTATGAACCCAGAGGACAATATGTTAAGTGAAATTAGTCAGGTGCAGAAAGACAAATACCATATGATCTCTCTTATATGTGGAATCTAAAAAAGTCAAACTTATAGAAGTAGAGAGTAGGATAGTGGCTACTTCTTATTGTGCATTTGGAGTCTGCGTGACTAAATATACATAAAGTGCTTAGCACAGAGATTTGTGCATGAAAGATGCTGTAGATATTTTTCTTCTCGCCCCTGTCCCACCTTTCCTATCCAGATAAAGTTATGCTACAAGTTATTCATTGATGAATTCCAATTTGAGGATTCAGTTTGTGGCTTTTACTGGTTCTAAGAAATTAGGGAGTATTGAACCATTGCATGAACAGTGTCACCAAATATAAGAAGCTGGGAAGTTCAACGTCAATAATTACTAAAGTCTCCCTTGAACTGAAGGCGAGCTAAAATGTCTCAGTTGGGCAAGAAGTGAATTAACCCGATTGCAACAGTAGGCAGCTATTAAGAGATCCAGGAACCTTGGTTGGAAGCTTCCAGCGTTCCTGCCTTCAGCCTTGTCCTGTTCAACATTCTCTTCAAGACCAAGATCAAGGAAGAAGTTGCTGAACTTGGTATTCAGCTGAGAGAGATGGGCTGTGTTGGCTGGAAATTAAGCAATGTTCTGAATCCAACAAGGGGCAACATGTGTGAAGAAGGCTTAAGCATTTCAGTGAGCACTACATTCTGGGTAGTTAATAAAATGTGTTTACTTATCCTTACATCATTTAAGGCTGAACTCAACCAAAATCTCCTCTTCAAAGTCTTGTTTGAACCCTTGGTTTACACTAAGTGCTCTAGTAATTCCAACATATACATCCATAATAAAACTGTTAAAACAATGTTAATGACTCTTTGAATGCAGGAACTTTACCTTATTGATTTTCATACTCCCAGTGTCTAGCATCGTGTCTGGTACTTAGGAATTTTTGAATATATTATGGGCTATTGTTAGAATACGAATTAATTCAAAAGTAGGCAGCGTTAAGTGACAATTTGATTCTTCTAAAGAGTATTAGTTGCCTGCCTATTTGGACAATAAAAGCAACAATAAAAACAATCTGCCAATAGATGAGGCTTTTTGGGCTGGTACTTTGAAATACCTTGTAAATATTAGTAAGTACATTTCTTATTCTAAAGTAGGTAAAAAAAGGAAACTCAGTAACTTCCTTTCATTCTATTGATGGATCTTCAGTTCTTTTATATTCATAAGCATTGGAGTGAGGTATGTATGATAATTAAAATAAGAAATCCTATTTTTTATCTTTATGTATCTCCTGAGTTTTCCTTTGTTCACCCAGTTGCCTGCAAAAATCATTCAATGTTTAAATTTATAGTCTGTGACTTGGTGACCCTGAACTTCTTGGTGGCCTGGAATGAACATGAAATGCTCTTGTTTAGCACTTGGAGCTCAGTTAGATATTAGCTTTCCTGCAGTGCAATCCTCTGATGCCAGTGAAGAGGGAAATCAGAAACAGAGATTAGACAACTCTAGTCATGCCCTTCCAATACAATGAGTGAGTCACTGACAGAAGTGGATGCTGAATGCTGGGCTTCTCTCTCCTAAATCGTTTTATCCAAGTTATTAAAATGTGTTACTTCTTAGAGCTGTGACATTGAAGAACACTTCATTGAGATGATGAAGAGCTTGGACTCCAAAGTGTCCCTCTGTATCTCCTATCAGGCAGCATGAGCCCAAGCGGAGCAAGATTCAATCTGCTTAGTGCTCACACATTCTGTAGGACTCATGTTCCACTCAAGAGACTGAGTTTTGTTTGTTTGTTTGTTTGTTTTAACAAAGAGTGACTCCAATCCATTGAAAATTGGATTGCCTGTTTCCTTGTTTATGACTTCTCCATATAGTTGGTTCTGTTCCAACTTATTTGAAAGGACCATCTGTTGGATGATTTGATGTGATGTCTACATTCCCTGAAAGTCAGCTCTGACAGGTCGATGTGAAGGAACCTGAGAGGGAGCTCAGTCATGTGCTGAATGTCTCTTAAGTACAGGAACAGATTTGAGAGGATTATCCAAGACAATGACTTCAAGATCAAACTGGGCCATGGAGTTAGCTACAGGGCTCTGCAAATTCTTTGCGGCTCAGCCCTCTGGGGTCTCCTGTCACTGTACTTGCCAATAATGAATTTCACTTCCATGTGGGATCTTTCAGGTCTTCTTGACACACTCTGAAGCCATATGTGTTTCAGTTACTTTAGACACATCCTGCTCTTTAACTTAAAGTCAGTGAGGTTTGCCATGGCATCAAATCCCCTTTTAAACTCACATCACTTGAATAATAACTATAATTCTGGAGAGTTGACTCATAACTATATCCTGCTAAGGAACAATGAGGGTAGTCTGAGGAAATTTAAATCCACACAACTTATTCCCAAACTTTATTTATGTTTGAATACTCTCTAACTTCAAATGTTTTTACCATACTGGTAACATAGCAAAATCAGCTGATAAGACTATCTCCTTTTCTTTCTCTCTCTACCCAGACTTCTCTGGTGTGACACTAACTGTGGAGAAGTCACTAAGAATAAATGGCAAGAAAAATTTAAAAAATCAAAGATCTAAACTCATCTTTTTTTTCTATCCTGGTAAGCTTACTTCAAAGGTAGAGTCCCTTTCGCAGAAAGGTCAAGTCAAACTCTGTCAGAGAATAGGATTGGAAACCTCAGTAACTCTGTGATACACAAATAAATCAATGTGAGTAGACAGTCAAGTTACAAATTGTTGTCCATGAATATCTTCTTTAAAATTGTCTTATACTCTTGGGTAATTGTAAGAGTCAATCCCTGAAAAAGTCTGTTTTGAAACAGCTCATTGATTAAGAGTATGATAGTGCCTTTGTATTGTTCAATGTGACTTCTAGAGGAAGGTAGAGGTGATGTTTCTTTATAGGCTCTCCACCCCAGAGTTCTGTGAAGACCCTAAATACAATCCCCCAACTACCCAAGTGAAATCCTGTGAATAATTGGATTCTGGTCTACAGAATGGTTTCTGTACATGAAAGCAATCAATTTTGGGATAGTGGTTGCCACCAGAAATATTTCCATTTATTAGATACCTACTAGGTGCCGTACTCTTTGCTAGGTACACTACAGATATTCTTTCGTGTAGTTCTCACCAGGAAAATTTCAAGACTTGTCCACAACTTAAAGATGAGAAATATAAATCATAGGGAGATAAAATAACTTGTTCAAGACAATCCATTTATCAAGTTGCAGAACCTGGGGTTGAGTTCAGGTCTGCATGTAAACTTTTTGAGGTCAGAAGATTTTCTTTGTTTTGCTCATTGATGTATCCCCAATACCTAGAGGAGTGTCTGGCAGATTGTAGAAGTTCAATACATATTGTTGAATGATTGCTTTAAAGAGAGAATCAGAAACATGCACTTCTAACCATTATTCTCTTCCATCTAACGTCTCACTTGGAATCTCCTCACTGCAGACCCTTACCTGCCTCTTTCTCCCACCTTATTTCAGAGGAGAATGGAAGCTAGAGCTGCAGCATGCTGCTGTACAAAGTTATGTCTCTGGACACATCTTGCTGAAGGAATGCAGCAATTGTCATAAAACTGTCTTCCTGGGTCTGATGACCTCTTTCTCTCTCCATCTTCCTCTATTTCCTGCTTTCTCTCACAAAGATTTTTCTGTGTCCCTGAAGTGTGCTGAGTGCTGGAGATTCATGATAAAGAAAGCTGACACGGTCCCTGTCCTTATGCAAACTTGTATAAAATTATAGGTATGATGAATGTTCTGACAGAGAGGCACAGGGTATTGAAGGCGCATATAACAAGAGGACCTAGTCTATTCCTTGAAGTCAGGGAAGACCTCTTTCAAATTTGAACTTTAAGATGGGATAAGTAGGAGCTCCTGAAGTCTAAATTGGAACTGCTGGAGGTCCTTGCCTGAGACATGTTCAGGAAGTCAGGAGTCAGAACTACTTTTATAATAATACTAAAATGTTATTTGCTTTTTTCATTCTTATTCCATTAAAAGTGTACAGTGAAGCTTTACAGAAGCTATACGACATGTTATTATAACAGATTGAATGCGGAAGAAGACATGATAATCCAGTTATCTTCTAGTAAGCCAGATATTGGTGAGATTTGCAAAAATGTAAACCAGTGCCATTAATCTCACTAATGTATTTTTGGTTTTAGAAAATGTGTTTTTTTTCATAAAATGTTATTTATGTTAAGATATAATCAGCTTACTGTGCTACTTTAAGACAAACTAAATATCTAAAAATTTCCTGATTTTAATTTATGACATGTAAATATGATTAGAAATAATAAACATTTTTTAAAAGTTCCTTTGGGTTCTTATACTTTTTGTGAGTGCAAAGGGGTCCTAAGCCCCAAATGGTAGAGAATTACTAAGTTAAGTAAAGAGAAGAAAGGAGTGTTCCCTGTTCAAAAAACAGCAAACAGAAAAGCACTGACCTGAGATAGAACTTATAGTTTTGAGGATATCAAAGAAGTCCAGTGAGGTGGAAGCATAAAAAGTGAGGAGGAGAAGGTCAATGATGGAGACCAATGGGTAAGCAGTGCCATATTTGGGGGTACAAACTTAATCTTACGTCAGTGGAATGTCACCGAAGGGTTTTAAGTAGGCAGTAATTGATCAAATCTATGTTGAAAGAAGGAAGAGAAAGGAAAGAAGAATGTAAGTGAGAAGAGAGATAAGAAAGTTCAGTTAGGAGGCTTTTGGGAAAAACCTAGTAAGCTATGAGGTGGGGACAGAAGGGCTGGCTAAAAGAGGTTGAATTTAAGTGATGTTGAAGGACAAACTAGAGGACTTGGTGTTTGGGTGTCAGCAGAGAGTGAATTTTTTTGTAAAGAAGAAATGAATTATCTCATGATTTTTCTCTCTTAATTCTAAATTCTAGTGCTATCCTAATAGTTCTTTGACCATGGGCAAGTAGTTTAAACTCCATAAGCTACAATTTTCTCATCAGTAAGAAGTAGGAACAAAAACGACAATCTCATATGGTTGTTAAAGTGATTTTAAAAAGTAGACATACCTGATATAACTAATATATCATAATTATTTAAAGTTTCTTTGCTTCTCTTATCTTCTTTTTAAATTAAGTTTCTTCCTAACCATTTTATGATGAAGGTAGGGAACTGGCAGTATTCTTAAGGAAATATGAAATTCTTGAGAAGGGAAGTTCTACGCAATGTGCAGAAGCTGTTCTCTCTCTCTCTGTCTCTGTCTCTCTTTCCTTGAGGACTGCTCCATAAATTAAGTTCAGTTTTTATTGTCTTATCTGCTTCCTTCTAATTGAAACCTTTTCCTGTTCCTCTTGTTCCATAGTCTGATTCCTGCTAGTTTGTTCCATCACCTTTGCCTCCCCAAAGTCTTAGGCTAGCTTTATGTATTTCCCATGCCTTGCCATGTCCCTAACTTTACAGGACTTTCTTCCCCAGCAGCCACCATCTACAGACAAAATAACTCAGAAGGAGTTAGGACACAAACATTAAAATAATTGTAAAGAAAACCTGGTAGGCTTTATGACAGGAGTTGGAGCTACCTCCTGTCATTCTTTCTAGTATTTTTTGAACTGCTGTTCTCAAATTCATTGACTTGAGAATTTAGGGCAGTATTCCTCTGGGGCTGGAGGGAAAAGGAGACAATGTCATAGGACCATAAGAATGCCTTGCATTTTGTCAAGTGGCCCTATAAAACAGAGCCCAGGAGGTGAGCAGAGGAGAGAGCATGGTACTGGCAATCTGCCCTGTGACAAGAAGCTTTGTCTGCAAGCAGGCTCCCAGCTCACGAAGGTCCGCAGCTGAATAGAACCATTGTTTACTGCTTGAGTGGAAAGTAGAGGAAACAGGCAATGAGTCAGTCACCCACTTGTTTCAAAAGGAATTTTTCTAAGGGTTTTAGAGAAATCTAATAAAAAACGGAGTTTGAAGGGAGATGAAGGAGACAAGGACAAAGTAATGACTGCTGGATGCTAATGACGTGCTTGTCTCTGCTGACAACTGTCATACTTGGGCCGTGGGTTCCAACTCTGAACCTGAATCCAATAGGAAAGCTAATTCTGGAGAAGATCATTTCCTCTGGGGAGAGATTCTGACAAAGAACTAATCTGAAATAATTTTTAATAAGTTGATCCTCTTTTCTCCATGTAGAGCACATTTGCTAAAAATGCCTTTTTCTTCATGGAGATCACAGAACAGAGAGAGAGACTTATAGTGTGTATAATTTTTGAAGAATAGTAACTGATCAACAAATGACATAAGTTTAGAATCTTACATGGGTCTTACTTTCTGTGACTTGGTTTTCTGATATGTAGATACTCTGACTGACATTCCATTTTCTTAAGGCTCAATATAGGAATGGTCTTTCAACTGTGTCATCTCAGTTGGGAAAAATGCATGGAGTAGTATGAATGCCACCAAAAGGAAGAAAATGCCTTGGTGTACATGGCAAGGACTCAGTTATGTTCTGCTGAAAGCTCCAGTTTGCAATCCACACTTGATAAATTTTCTATTTTATTTTCAGTAATCTTTTTCTTTTCTTTTTTTCAAATTTTTACTATTTCAAATTATTTTCAAATTATTACTAAGGAATAAAATTCAGAATTACAGGAAAAGCTCAAGGAAAAAAATAAAAACAATCTGTGATCTGATCTTCAGAGATAACCAACATAGCATGCTGCTGTATACCTTTTATGATATGAAATAGCAAAATATGTGTGTGTATTATATATCATCAATACAATATTTTGTACATATTATTTAGTAACCTGACTTTTTCATCTCTAGTTTGTATCACAATTTTTATGTCACCATATATTATAGTCTTTCTCATTATAATTTTGAAGGTTATAAAACATTTTTTAAATAGTTCTCTATTTTTGAACACAAAGATTTGTTTTAATTTTTCAACTATTAAAATGCTTCTTACTGAAGTTTTCTAACAGATGTTCATTTATTTGCTATTTGACAGGTATTTCTTGAACACCTACTGTTCTTCAAGATATGAAATTAGCCATTGTTTATAGGGAACAAAAAGATAACTGAAAACACAGTCTCCTTTTTCAAGGGACTTACTGAAAAGGAAATAATCTCTCCTAAATGATAATGACTGTTTAAGAAATACCTTTTCCTTTCCTTTTCTTTTTTTTTTGAATC